AAAAATAGCCAAGGTAGATTCTACATAAATGGGGCAAGAAGGGAGGATTAAATATAAAGCTTTAATAATTAAAAGAAATTATATTAGCTCTGGAATCACAAAAAAAATTAATAGAACAGAGACAGATTCAAGAACATAGCAAAAATCAGCATATGACAGAGATGGCAACAAAATAAATGAGAAAATAATAAACCAGTTTCTAAATGATAGTGGAACTGATGGTTTTCAACATAGAAAACAAACCCCTTCCTCATACAATACAGAAGTATACATTCTGATGAGTTCAAAGACCTCACTATGAAAAACAAAACTTTTCTAGCATTAAAAATGTCAAGAACAGAAGAGAAAACTTGAAAACCAAAATATATTTAAAAGATAATCTTTTATCCATGCTTATCAGATTAACCCAAATAAAAAACATTTTATTAACACTAGTCGCCATCCAAGATAAAGGGATTCAAGGAATTCCAAGCCTGTACAGTGGCAGAGCAATCTATAAAACCTAGGAGAGCTAAAGTAAAGATGGATGTTGATGTAATCATATCTAGCACTACCCAGGTCGTCGACTTCTGGGAATATATACCCTAGTCACACTTTTTTTGTACATGTCAACAAGATCTTATCAAGGATATTCCCTACAGTATTTTTTTATAACAGCAAAAGGTAGAAGCATCATATTGTCCACCAATGGGAAACATTTAAGTTATGATGTATTAAACAAAAGAATATTACAAATTTACAAAAATGACTCAACTAGAGCTACAATGATCAACATGTTATCAATACATGTAAAAAAATGTTAGGTGAAAAAAGCACAAAAAGAGATAAGACAGGCCTCCATTATATACAATTTTAAACACAAAGTAAAAACTACACACTCTGATGGGCACACACTCAGTCCCAGCATTACAGGTTGCATGGACCTGACCTCAAGTTCTTCAACTTCACTGCCTGGATTTCCCTCTCCCTTATAAGAAAATGTTCTATTTCCAGCAATCCTATAATTAAACTTAAGTGGCTACTCCATGTAAACTACTAGGTGCCAGAGAAGACAAAAGAATTATGCAAATCTCCTCTGTCCACCCTGCAGCAGGGTACACTCAGCTAGGGAATTTATCTCAGAGACTTGATGGTTCCTAATCCTGACTCTAGCTGCATATTATGTAAACTTAGAAAGACAACCTAATTTTCAAGACTTGGTTCCTTCATCAATAAAATGAGAAAGCCACCCTCTTCCTACTGTGAAGAGTAAATAAATATATGTATAATATCCAGCACATGTCACATACTCGACATTCCTGGTGATACAGACACAGCAGCCAAGAGAATACAATCTTCTAAACCAAAAGGTAATGGATAGGAGGGCATAAGAAGGCCAGCTTAGTGTGCTGCACACCTACATACCCCATCCCTACCTCCCTCACATAATTTACCTCCACCCTATGGGATGTTGGGACATTACATTTCTTCCAGCAATAGTAGTGTGGCTACAGCCAGGTCTATTTATTCTTCCAAATTGATAAGAGATAGTACTCTGTGAAAAGAGCTACCTACATCAGGAAAGAGAACGTCCCTGAAACCTCTGGAGGATTCTGAGGTCAAAGGATCATTATCCACCTATGATTGCTTCTCAGTTGACCCTCTTTTTTTTTTTTTTTTTTTTGCAGTTTTTGTATAGGGGACCAGCACCCTACTCCTCTGAGCCACAGGCATTACCCTCAGTTGACCCTCTTTAAAATCCCAAGAACATACCACCTTAGCTCCATATGATGATGAGGGAAAGGGAACAGCATCTCAACTCTACCCCTCCAACGCACATCCACCCCCAATTCCCTGAACCATCTTTCAAAGATCTGGAATAGAGTTCTATCCATGGATTTTGTAATAGAGGCCAGAGTGTGGGGCTTATCTGCCTGATGCTGGAAAACAGCATTTGGAAATCACATTTGGAGATACTGAGCTGTAGGATTTTATTCCTGGAGTTTCTTTCTTTTTTCTTTTTAATTAAAAAATTTAAATTGTGCTAGGTAGAATGTGTTCCAAAATTTCTGATAAAAAATTTTGCTTTTAATTTTCTTTTGTATTAAGCTGGATGGATGTGGAACACATTATCCTTAGTAAAGCATCACAAGAATGCAGAAACAAGAATCCTATGTACTCAATTCCAATATGAGGACAATTAAGGTCCTGGAATTTCTTTCTGAGGGCTTGGGAAAGGAAGGTAGCAATTTCAGTTCTCCAGCCAATGTGGCGCCACCATGTGGCACTGTACAAATAGTTCATAAAACACTGGGCTTTGAAATTCTGTGATTCTCCACCAGAATTTTTAACTTTCAAAATATTTCCTTTTTAATGTTTTAAATAGAATTCACTCATCTTTCTTATTCATCTATATTTCAATGTCATACTATTTCATATTTGAATTATTCAAATTCACTCTAAGAAAAAGTTCTTTCGGAAATAAACTGGCCTCCATTTATCAATGGCAACACTGTTATATCTGTGGTTGGGTTTGTTATTCCACCAAAGAATGATGATCAGGGCTTGGTGGGACAATCAATTCACTCCCTGCCCAGATCTTAAAGCCAAATTCTTCCTTCGTTTTCTGTACTGGCTTAAGTATAACTACTCTTGGTTTGCATTCATACAAAGGGGCAGGGGGGAGAGTAAGAAAATCAAGAAGTCGCAATTTAGCTTGGGGACTAAAATGATAAAATAATAGTAGTAATAAAAAGTAAAATTTTTCTTATAAAACTAAACAAGATGAGGGCTGCCCTTGAGGGAATAGTGCCCATAGGAGTCATGGGGAGATCAGAAATATTCTAGGTCTTAATGAAGGCACTGGTTACACAAGGGTGTTCAGTTTATGAAAATATATTGAACATACAATTCAGAACTATTGCTTTCTGTTATCCTATTTCAATATAACATCAAGACAAATTCACCAAGTTCTGAATCAGTCATCCCTCTTTAACTTGCCTTTGAGACAAAAGGCTGCAAACTGGGAAGGCAAAAACAGAAGGATGCACCTTTTCAGCCAGTAAGAACCCCTCTGGGCAGGGAGGAAGGAGACGGAACACAGTCCACATTACTTCTAGTTTAAATTGCTGAGTATGGCTAACACTTTGCCTTCTCAAAAAAACGAACAAAACCTGGAGCCAGATAAACTCCCTCTTCCCCTACTACACACACTGACAAATGAAACCCAGACTGCAAAAAGAACTCTGCCACAAGGAGATACACACTATCTCCTCAGTAACCACACACACACACAGTCTCCCACCCCCAACCCCCGGAGAGAATCTCCAGACTCTCAGAGACATCCTGAAGATTGGGGTAAGGAAGGGGATAGGGTAATCAGAAGAGATGCAATTGCCATCACCAGGAAGAAATTATTTCCAGGAAGATGGAAAACAGTATGTTCAAAGTCTCAGCAAACTAAAATTCTCTTAGAAAGAGGATTTTGAGATATGCAAATAGGGTCCCACGTGTTCTTTAAATCGCCTCCATTTCTTCACTTTGAATCATTTTCCTTCTACTTTTTAATATAACTCCATTGCATCTATCATATCTTCAGAACCCAAGACTTTAGGAAGATTGAAAGGCAGAGTTGTTCCATTTTATAAATGAAAAAGTTGAGTCTCAAACACTCATGCCAATCGTCACAAAACTATCTAAGCAGTCATCTCATCACTGAGTTTCAGAGTTGAGGGACAGGGTGATGATGGCAAAAGAGGATAGCTCTCTCCTCCCAAAGCTCTGAGAACAACCCACAACCCCACAAACAGCCCTACAAGAGTTGCCTTAAAGAATCTGGAGTAAAGGAATCTCATGAGGACATTTACCTGGATCTGGAGTAAAGGAATCTCGTGAGGACATTTACCTGGAACTCGGCCCCTTCCTCCCCTGGGAAAGAGTCAAGCAAATCAACAAATCTAGATCAAAGGCTTGGGGGAGGAGGGCGGGAGGGTAGGAATGAGGCCAGACTCAGGTGTTTCCTAGGAGCAGATGGGAGCCAACGTTAGCATAACCAACCCCACAGCATACTGCTTTTCTTAGGAAGTCCCCTAGGCCCACACTGTGTGCATTTAAGAGTCTTTAGTATACATACTTATCCTCGGGGACAGGGCTTATCTGACAGAAGGAAACAGAGCAAAACGGATCTTAGAGCAGCAGGCACCTAGCAAATTCTCCTACTCTGCTAATTAGTAAATTAAGTGATGATAAACGGAGTGCTCCAAATTCCTCAGGTCCTAGGGTTCCCCCACTGAATAGCTCCGCTCCACGCTCACCTAGAAGGTCCTCCGCAGTTAACCCCCAAACCTCTGTAAAGCACCTTGAAATCTGCTCTCTCTCATGAAGCCTGGCGGCTCTGACAGAAGGAGTATGAGGAAGAGACCGGAATGAAGCTGAAGTGACCTCCCGCCCCTACCCTCAACAGCGCGCTCCTCCCCCGACAGCCCGGGGGCCAGGGCCAGACGCAATGGACCCGGGTTCTAACTCTGTGCACCGACCATGACCTTGAACGAGTCTCTAATCAGCTCCATTTTGCAGAAATTAAGAGTTCCAAAGTATCAAGACCGCTCTGCTGGGCTGCTGCAGGGCGCTTACCAGATGGTTTAAGTAAGGCTTCCCGCCGCTGCGCCGGTAGCGCAGTAGGTACGCGGTGAACCGCAGCCCAAGCGCTACGTGGCCAGCCCGGATCGGAAAACGAGAGGGAAACGCAGAGGCTAGCTCCCGCCCAGAGAGCTAGAGAAAGAGGCGGTTCCGACTCTGCGACGATCCTCGAGCAAGTTCAAGTCACCTACACGCGCGCGCGTTCACACACACACGCCCCTCCGCAAAGGAGGACTGGTCATTACCGACGTCCCTAGTTCAGGACGCGCACGGAGTGCGGGGAAAGGTGAGACATCTCCACACACCCACCTCCGAAGTTGGTGCAACGTGAGGAGGAGAGTGGCATAAAGCTCCGGGAGGGAAGAGGAGAAGACGATACTTACACGGGGTGGCCAGCCTGGAGGAGGTCTGCAGCCAGGGTCATCGATGGCGGCCCGGCTCAAGCCGCTGCTCCTCAGAACGCCCGGGGCACCTGCCGCAGCGCAGGGCGAGGATTAGAAGGCTGCGGGCAGTGAAGCAGACGCGCCGGTCGGTCTGCGCGCTGGAGCTGGGCTGCAGCGCGGCGGGGACTCGGCCGCCAGAACCGCAGCCGCAGCAAGAGCTCGGCAGCCGGCAGGAGGCGGGAGAGCGGCGGCGGCGGCAGAGGCTGCGAGGGAGGCGCCCGCGCCGCAGGCAGCCCAGGCCAGGCTGGCCGCAGCCGCCGACACCTGCTGGCCCGGCCCGCGGCCAATCAGAACCGCCGAGAGCGGGGGAGCGTGCGGAGGCGGGGCGGGAGCGCGTGCTGGGCGCCCGGCGGGAGGGGCGGCGTGCGATGGCGCCTGCGCCAGGGCAGGGGGCGCCCGCCCGGCCGGTTCCTCTGGAGCACCCCGGGCGCGCGGGCGGCACGCGCCGGGAGGGGCGGGGCGCATTGGGAGGAGGCGGGACCCGGCTGCGCGCGCTCGGGGCGGGGACCCGCGCCCCTCCTGGGGTTCTACCCCGCGGCGCAGTGCAGTGCTGGTTCCGCAGCCCGGGACCCCCAACGCCACAGCTGTGATTTCAGGTCGTTCTCAGATTTGAAGTAAGCCTTTTCCTGTCCTCTGCCTCTGAGCTTTAGAGGCCAGGACCCTCCCAACTGTGAAGCGGTGGGTCACCCGAATCCGGGGCCTGCCTAGTTCTAAGAACACCGCGGTCCGCGGCCCGGAGCCTCGCCAAAGCTGGCACGGCGTTTCTTTACTGACAGCTCTTCTTCACTTCACTGGGTATTTAAATTCACTGTGGTGACCCTGACCTGGACTCCTGTAATTCTCCCATGAATTTACTGTGCTGGCCACGCTCATTCATTCAAAACACATAATCAGGCTTCGCGCTTGGTTCAGGGAGCTGTCCGGGCTATCGCGCACCTAATCTTCCGAACCCACCACTGCCGCGTAAGGGAGCCCGCGCTGTCAGAAGGACGCCCCAAAACTGCTGCAAGTGAGGAACGCATTACATTCCGGCTCATGCCATGAGTTCCCAGTCCAGGAATGTCAGCGAGTTGAAAGGTTTCACTTAAAGCCAAGGCTTCATTGCGCCTTTGCATCCATTAAGCAGAGGACCAGGAATCTACCTAAGACCCACAGTCTCAACCCCAGCAACTGGGGGAGAAAACATATCGTCAATTTTACGTGCAACGTGGAAGTCACTCCATGAAAATAAAGCGTTTGTGGAACCACATTGGCGATTTTCTAAATCCCTGGGCATCCTCTCAGGAGGAGGGGGGGCGGTGTTGAGGTTGTTCTCTCTGGGTGAATTTGCGCAGAAGAAATAAATCGTTCATTTTCAGATCACTCCGCAGCAGAAAAATCAAACAAAAAATAAAAAACCTTTGAGAGGGGAACTCAGAAAGTAATGAGTTTAATTTCTCTACAGATCTAATTTCTTCCCTTAAAGGGATTTTAATGTCTACAAGCTGATAAAGTGGAAGAAAGTTTGTTGCTTCTATTTTATTTACATTCAATTTAAATTCCAGTTGTCTATGTTGAATGCTTCAACATGGAACAAAATTCAAGAAGTACAAATAGACAAGGCACAGTGGCTCTCGCCCGTAATCTTAGCATGCTAGGAGCCCAAGGCAGATGGATCGCTTGAGCTCAGGAGTTGGGAGACCAGCCTGAGCAAGAGCGAGACTCCCTCTCTAAAAAGAAAACTAGCCGGGCATTGTAGCCAGTGCCTGTAGTCCCAGCTACTGGGAAGCTGAGACCAGGGCATTGCTTGAGCCATCCGGAGAGTTTAAGGTTGTTGTGAGCTGTGACGTTAGGGCACAGTACCCAGGGTGAGAAAGTGAGACTCTGTCTCAGAAAAAAAAAAAAAAAAAAAAAGTACCAATAGAACCGCAGTTAGGAAGCTTCCCTCCCACCCTTGTTTCCCAAAGTGTCAATTCCTCCCCTAGGAGGCAACAAATGTACACCCTCCTAGAGAAAATCTACATACACACAATCAAACACATTTGTTAAATGTTCTTATTTTTACTTTTTGAGTACAAAATGGTGACATTTGTTATACAAACTATGCATGATGTTCTACACCTTAATCTTTTCACTTCATAAGATATCATAATTTCATATCATTATAAAAACAAAATTTCTTGTTCTTTTACAGTTAAATAGTATTCGATTAAACAAGACATATGTCGTAATTTATATCAGAGGCCCCAATTATGGTCATTTAGATAGTCTCCCATCTATCATTATTACTAACAGTGCTGCAATGAGTAACTTTGTTCTTACATAGCGGTATATGTGGGTGTACATATGAAGAATAAATCCGTAGAACTGGAGTCATGGGGTCAAAAGTAATATGAATTTATAATTTGGATAATCTCAAATGCCCTTCACAGAGATGTGAACTCTTGACCTCGCACAAGGTCTGAGATTGGCTATTTACATACACACACCCCTGGGAGTTCTGAGCCTGTTTGCCCTCAGATCCTTTCCCAGAACTTCCTGCTGTGCTTTGTGGGGCTGACTTTTACAGGCTGCACTTCCCAGATTCCTGGCTTCTTGCTGCTCTGGCCAATGGGATGCAGCAATAGGAGAATGGAAGGAGAGAGGGAGAGAGAAGCCTCTTCTCCCGGGTGTGGGCATGGAAAGGATGTCCAGGGCAACTGCTGCTTCTCTTGGGTGACTCCAAGTCCTGTAGGACAGACTTACTATGTACCCAGCTCCCTGGGCTCTGGCAATACCCCTTCCTTCTTTTGTCCCTGGGGCCTAGAAGTGGCAGAGTATTCCACAGTTGCTCATCTCCAGGGGCATCACTGTTTTCTGGGAGCATCTTAGCCTCTCACATTATCTGTGAAAACAACTCCATGTTTTAAATTCCCTCGATTTTAAATACTCCAAGTTGTTTTTGCTTTTCTAGTTGTACCCTGACTGATCACACTCCTCTGCTCAGCATGTAAACCAACTTTCTGATCTTTGTTAATCTGAGAGGAGAAAATGGACGCAGTAGTTTGATTTGCATTGATCTTGTTAAAAGTGAGGTAGAATGTTTTTACATATGATTAAGAGCCATTTCTATTTCCTTTTCATTTTAAATTTGTGTTCATATCTTTTGCCCATCTTTTTGTGTTTACTTTTATCAGACCAATGGATTCATAATGGAGAAACAAAGTCCTACCAGTGAAACATTTCGTGAAAGAACTTATGTCAAACTAAGTTTTCAAAAAGATTTTACTTAGGGAGCCCTGTCCAGTCAAAAACCAGCCATAAAGCCTGTTAATTGCTGTAAAGGAGAGAAAAATAATAGAGTAAGAGTGTTCAAAGGTTAATAATCTACCTGTACAGACAAAATAAATTTATGTTCCATGATGTTCCTTCTTTTGCATTGTTGTAATCAATAAGCACAAATTATAATAACACGCCAAATGGCCTTTTCCCTAAACAATGTATCATGTAGTCATTCCCAATTGTTACAAAGAGAGTTTCCTTCTCTCCCTCCCTCCTTTCCTCCCTTCCTTTCTTCTTTCTTTTCTTCCTTCCATTCTTCTTTTGTTTCTTTCTTTTTTCTTCCTTCTTTCCTCCCTTCCTTCCTTTCAGTTGTATTACAATTCACTGAATGGAATCTGCCATAATTTATGTAAGAGGTCCCAAGAACTCTTAGTTGTAAGTGACCAAAACCCAACTCTAAAGACTTGGCTGTAAAAAGAAATATATAGGCTCACTTAAATGCAAGGTCTAAATGTAGGTCTGCCTATAGATATATCTGAATTATGGGATTCAGGTGATATCAGTAGAACCAGGACTACAGTCTCTCTCTCTCTCCACCTCTGCTGTCTGTCCTTCCCTGTGGATTTCATTGTTTAACTGACCTATTTCATGTGCTGGCATCTGATAGCTCCAGGATTACCTTCTCCTCAGTAGTCAGGATTCAAGAATGAGGCAAGTCTTCTTTTTCCTAGAATGTACACTAATTTACCCAAGGAAACTCTTTTGACCCACTTCAGTCATGAGTCTAGGACTAGGGTGTTCTGATTGTTGGTGGGTAAGCAAGGGTGGTGAGATAGGCACAGTGGATGAAGTAAATTAGCTAAAAAGCTTACCCTGGTTTGTATATGCTTTCCCACATGTATTTCCTGACTGGTAAGCCACTCAGAAACACTCATGTTCATTTTTGTCCAGACCTAGGAAAGACCTCAAGTGGATCCCAGGGTAAATGTTTGACTGGAGAATGTCAAAGGGTTATTTTCCATTTATGCACATGTTCTCAAAGCTGACTAAATATGTAAATCCACCTCTTTACAAACTCTCAGAATCAAAGTCCCAACATCTTACCTAAGCCATAAACATTTTAGAAGAAAGACAAATACAGAATGGTTAAATGATTTGAGCAAGGTAGCAGATAAGACAGGAAGAAAGTACAGACAGAAATCTAAAGAAATGAATGAAGAAGAGTCCAGTTTCCTATTCGAGTTCCTTTAGGTCAGATCCAACCTTATTTCTTCACCAGGTCTACTATTGATTTCTTTTTAATGTGCTCTGTGAAAGGTTTGGCATTTGACAAAGATTTAGATAACAATGTGCCTGGCACAAGATGACCTAAAATGCCACCTCCTCAATTACCCTACCCAAACGGTCATCCAGTGACAGGTTGCTGAATTCCAGCCCTCTCCATCCCCTCATGACTCACAAGCAGCACTTGTTTTCCATTTTCTGCATGGTCTTGATTGCTGTAAGAGTTTTAATGGATTCTTCCCTTATCAAAAAGAACTCTTTGACATTTGTGTGCACAAGGAACTGCATCACATCTTCTTTGAAAAGGCAAATCAGACAGCTCATTTCTTAGCCAGAAGATTGATGAGTTTATACTGGCAGGAAGAGGGCATATCTCAGGAGGATTCTGGGTAAAATTAAAAAAGCATCAATCACAAGACTAGATTGCCACTCTGAGCTCACCACTTCCTGGCTGTGTGACCTTAGGTAAGTTACTTAACTAAGCTGAATTCTAGGTTCCCTGAATGAAATATGGGAATGAAATATGGCATAATTCTCTCTACCATCCTGTATGATTATATTAATTGACTTTGTGCATAATGAGATTTACTATATGTTAGTTATCTAAAAATCATCATTTTAACCTGGAAAATGAGTTTATAAAGGAATTTTCTATGCCATTAGAATTTTCTATG